ACGGGTGTCTGGGTGGCTCAGTTGGTTTAGCGTCTGCGTTCAGCTCAGGTCATGATCTCAGGGTCCTGGGATGGAGTTCCCTGCTTCTCCCCCTCCATCTGCCCCTCCCCCCTGCTCGTGTTCTCTCGCTCGCTCTCTCTCTTTCTCAAATAAATAAAATCTTAAAGAAAAAAATAAATAAAATGGCCATTCGTGAAAGAATTCTTGAGTCCCTGTTTGATGCCAGGCATTTATGTTGGTGCTGAGTGAGGATTCGTTGGTGAACAGGACTCATGTGGTTCCATTTCTCAAAGCAGGACAAGTGATGTCCATAAAGAGTGAGAAGTGTTTGGACACATAATCCAAGTCTCCTAAGGAACATTGTCTCAGTGGTCAGAGAATACTAGAAGGTGAGCAATGAAAGATGAGTAAAAACATGTTAGCCCTGTAGGCTCAGTGTTGGTGGATTGGGTAGGTGGTGTGTCACCAGTGTTTTGTGCCGAGGGGGCAAAGTGTCTGAAAAATCTCACAGGACATAGGGAAACCGGAGTGATGACGAGACCTGTGAGGGAGCAGAAGGCAGTGTGTGGAGGACCTTGTAGGTGTAGAACAGCTTTGGACTTCATCTGAATGGTAGCAGGAACGCTCTGAGGGGTTTTAAGAGGAGCCTATTCATATTTGTGATTCGAAAAATCACTGGGGTGGCAGTGATGGGGAAGGAAGTGGTTCTCCAACTTTCTCTAGCCCCAGAGGGCTTGTTAGAACACACTTTCCTGGGGCCCATCTCCTGGGATGCTAATTCAGGGGACTATGTGTTTCCATTTTTAACAAATTCACAGGTGATGTTGATGCCAATAGTCTAGGCATCACACTTTGGGAACTCCTGGAGAAGGTATTGCAGAAGGGCAGGATGTGGGGGAAAGGAGTGGGCAGCTGTTTGAAGTGATCGATTGAATGAAGGGCATGAAGAAGAGGGAGGATCCTGGGGAGGAGGCGTGGCCAAGAAGATGCCTCCATGCTGCGAAGTCTAATGGACCATTCTTTGTGCATCCTGCTGCACCTCTTTCTGCTTTTGTAGGAGAGCTTCCTCTTGGCTTCATTGACACCATCTTCCTTTACCTTTCCTCCATCCCTCTGATGACTCTTCTCCTTTGTTCCTCTTCTAGCATTTCTTGAGTTTGATCCCATTTTCCCTGGGGGGAAGGGGTGGGGTCTCCAGTAGAGAGCTTCAACTCCATCCTGCTCTAAAAGTTTTTGTAAAATCACTTAGTCTGATTACCAGTTCTCTTTGTTCTCTGTTAGTCCATAGGTGACTCTGGGCCATGACCTTATCTATGCATCTCTTCCCACCCATAGCATAGTGCCTCACACACAGTAGGTGCTTAATTAATATTTATGAACAAATGAATAATTCCTGCAGTCACCATTTTGCCAGTTCTGTGAAGGAAGGCAAATTACTTAATCTCTCAAAATTTCCATCTCTTGATGTATAAAATGGGGGTTAAAAATAGAATTCATCTCCTAAGAGTTGCTTTGAGGATGAAATACGATAATGCATGTGAAGTGTTTGGCACGCAGTAAACATTAACTACCATTGTTGTTGTATTTATTGTTGGTACTTTGTGTGCCTTTGGGAGAGCTATTGAACTTGTCTAAACTTCGGTATTGTCACATTCAACAATCACTCTCCAACTGGGCTGTTGTGAGGGTCTTCGAGATGGAGGGTTTGGCAGATAGTAGGTGTGTAGGAAAGGTTAATTCTCTCTCCCCAAGCTCCCCCTTTCTCCACCCCCAGAAACCCCTGACTGCACTGGCTTGTTTTATCTCTTGATCAGCTGATGGGGTGACAATGGGAAGAAAGTGTTGGGGTTTGTGGCTGAGCGCCCAGGCATTGTTTAAAAACAAAGAACATTCCTTTTAACCTCAGAGGATCTACATCCCATTAACACTGGTTCCCCTCAATTGTGTGTTCTTAGGGTAGACTAATATTGAAAGAAATAAAATGCGAAATCAACTCAAGAGTCATTTAGAATCACCTCCAAGCAATTAGGCAAAGCAAATATTCTTGGGGATTTCTTCTAAATTTGGAATTAGTCTAAATTCTCTCCTAAGGATCTAGACTAGAGAAAGGTTATTGCTACAGTCTTAGTGGTGGGTGTAAAGTCTTTTTCATTTTATTTTTTTTAATGCGTCTCTGTTCTCATCCTATTAGCTTGTTTTTACCCTCCTTCTCCTTTGAAATAGGCCTGTAATGGTCTATAACCCTAAACGAGGAGCCTTCTGTGAAGCTACCAGTGCATTTATAGATCGTGTTGTGGGATACCCTTCAACATTATCTAGCCTAAGGATTATTTATTGTTGGGAAGAAATGCATGAGGGGCCCCTAGCGTGTATGCTAAAAAATTGTGACTGACTGAGCCAATCATAAACTATTACAAACAAACCACAGAAAACCCCTAACACTTGTTGTCCTCTTTCCCAAGCTTTGTGCCAGAGTTTGTCTTAAAGACCAGCAGAGAACTCTACTTAGGCTGGGATTTTGAAAACTTTGTTCATTTAAAAATCTGTTTTTATATTGTGGATCTCCTATGTTGCTTCCAAATGGCAGCATTGAAATAACACTTCCTTCCTCTTTATACATTCCATCCCTAAACAAAATCATCCCCAGAATCCCCTGGGGATTAATTAATTAATTCCTGGACATCATTCTGGGTAAGAGGCATAGTCAGTAGTAGCTCATTCCTTCCCGAATATTCTTGACCAAATTGCAAGCTCCTCCCCTCCATCTCCGATTCTTGATTATGGTTATCTACAAAATAGATCGAACAATGGCACAGACCCTGGGGACTCCCTGGGTTGGCTCTGAGAGCCAGTTTGTGTTGGGGTCAAGATCTGCCTGACTTTCTGGAAAGAAGTTGGCATCTGCTCTGTTTTCTGACCTTACTCTTGCTTCATAAACCTGAGGGGGTCGGCTAATAGGTAGTTGGAATGACTCCCTTCCATCCCCACAGCCAAGCTCGGCATCCCTGTTGTTTCCTGATTATTTGGAATGGGGAGTTGTTTTCCCAGTAAGGAACACTCTCTCCCATTCTGCTGGCTTGCCTGGACTTAGTGATCAAATTAACACCTTCCTTGTTCTCAAGTGAGTCACTCCAGAGCTGCACTCCAGCCACAAACGGGCAAAGAGTGAATCTTTTAAGATCGCCCCCGCTTTTTACACTTTGAACTATTCAACTTCTGTGGATTGTATCTCCCTTTGAATTTAGGATATAGGGTGTGACTACATGAAACTATTAGGGTGGGACTCGGGATCCAAAATAAAGGATCCAGAAGGATTTGCGTAAATTATTCTAGAGTTCAGAACCAAAGACAGTAATTATTTACTGATGTATGGGTGGTGGTTGGTGCTGGTGGTGGTGGGTTAAAGTTCTAAAAAGAGTACAGGATCTTAAGATCTACTCTGAGGCTGGAACAATGAGATAATTAGAACAGCAATAGTAACTTCCATTTGCCTATGTAATGTTCTCGTTTCCGGTTCAGACCCTGGGTTTGCAAAGGCTTATAGTTAATAATGTCTACATTCAAAAATGCCTTTTCATGTTCTAATGATGACCATGTGTCATGAGTGTCCATGTGTCAAAGAGGTTGGAAGGAAGGGGAGTTTGCAGTTTCCAAAATAATGACTCATGTGACAGAGTATGTTTTATTTTATGATCTGAGCAGTAGCATTCCAAACTGGCTGCTTCCCAGGAGCAACGGGGTGAATCGTATTTAACAAGTGGCTAAGATAGGAGTGAATGACTTGTGGGTTTCTCAGAGAAAGAAAACACGAGACAATGAACCAACAAAATAACAAATGAAACAAAACAAACAAAAGGGGAACTGAGGTCCTACAGGGCCTCAACGTTGAGATTTATGGCATGTAACCCGCTAGATTGGTAACCCCTGTTCTTGCGAGCAGCCAGTTTATTCCCACTGGCTTGTTGGCGGGGTGTTGTTCTAGCACAGGATATCAGTGGGCTGCCTGGGTTTGAATCCTGGCTCTACCGTTCATTATCAGTGGGCTTTGGGCACCTGGCTGAATCTTTCTGTGCCTCAGTTTCCCCTTTTATTATAGGGAAATCAACATTGGGCTGATGTCCTTCATAGGGTTGCTGTGGAATTATTACAAGGAAAATGCTTCTAAGAATGCCTGACACATAAATAGGTTAGTATGGTTATTACTTGAGTCGGTCCATCAGACCCACAAACCAAAAGCATTCCTGACCTCAGCAGTTTAGCCCCAGGATGAACGAAGGCATGAGAGTCAAGTGTTAAGTATTTTTCAATGGAACAGGGACCTTGGATTCAGCCTTTTACTGTGTGGCCCCAGAGAAGTGACAAAAGCCCTCTGAGCCTCTATTATTTCATTGTTTGTAAAACAAGGGTTAGTAACTTGCCTCCCGGAGCACCTTTGAGACTTCGGAGATAACCCATGTAAAGGGCCTAGTACCTGGTTAATAGTAGTTAAGCAGCAAGGGAGTAGCATGGGTTAACCCAACTGGAGTTTCTTCTTCATCTTCCTCCCACCCCCAGCCCTTACCTCCTTTGTGTACTTAACTTATCTTTAACCTCTGGCACCCCTTTGCCTTCTCACCAGCCTACTGCCTGTTCATTCTTTCATGTAGCAACTCTGGCCCTATCACAAATCTCCAGGAAGCATCTTATAACCCTGAGAAAATAAAGCCCTTAAGGCCCCAGACCCATTTTAACAAAGAAAAGCCCTTGCCCTTTCTTAAATAACTTCTTTTCCCATCTTTGTAAACTCATTCCCTTGAGGGCCAAATTCTGTGAATTGGAATTGATGAAATGAGAATGGAAAGAAAAAAAAAAAAAGGCAAGAAAAGAAACAAAACACTCACAACTTAAGATTTGGCTCAATTATATATTTGCCAGATATTTTATTTTTTCTAAAAACAATAGAAAAAATCAACTTTAAAAAGGAAAATGTACTTAAATAAAAAAAATTATGGTTTATAATACATGGTTTGAATTCTTGTATAACTGCTATAAACGTTTTATTAAAGTTATTTACATTTAATGGCCATATTTACATGGGGAAGTGGGGTAAACTTTACGATTTTTTAAAAACAATTCTTAAATACAAATCTGTTAAAGGAAAAAAAAAAGGATGGCAAGCATAAAAAAAAGTTCTTTTATGCCCAAAGTTCCATTTGAGGCAGTTTACATTATGGCTAAACCTTTCAATCCTAAGGCTTAGCCAAGGTTGTGAGGTTGCACTTGAACATGCATTTGAAAAAAGTTCAGATATGAGGAGCTGCTACAGTTCTGTCAGAAGGAACCTGTTCCCTTACTTTCTCTTAGTAACAAATGAGAATTCATGACCAATTCCAGTTCCGTCCTCCAATAGGTGGACTTAGGCACCAGAGTTCCTTAGCTGTTCCAGTTTGTGTTTCAACTGTTCTCGCCGCTTCCGCAACAAGTCCTTTTCTGAAATGAGCTTCTGCTCCTCTGTTTGGACCGACAGGATGTACGCGGTGGCTTTTTTAAGGATGACTACCTTGGGGGCCTTTTCATTGTTTTCCAACTCCGGGATCTGGTCACGCAGGGCAAAAAAGCTCCGTTTCAGCTCGTTTCTCCTCTGGCGTTCTAAGACGTTGTGTGTCCGCCTCTTGTCATTCTCCTCTGTGTCCGAAGACCTGGGGCTGACACATTTGCGGTTGTTGATCTGTTTCAGGACTCTGCCACTGTCCAACTTAGCCCTCTTGGCGGCTGGATAGTCCTTCCTGGTGGAGGGGGGCGCTGCGTAATTGTGCTGATGGGTGGACACATGGCATCTCTTAAGGACCAGCGGGCTGTGAGGAGGTTTGCTGTGGCTTCCCGCCGAGGGTGACCCCGATTCTGACCTTTTGGCAGGGGGCTGCCTTTTTTCCACAGAAACAACATCAATTTCTTCTTCATCCTCTTGTTCTTCCTCTTTAAGAAAGGAAATAGAAACCACCCGGTTAGCCACGTTTCCTTAAAGCAATCAATGACCAGATTAAATGAATGCTGTGTAAATATAAGGCATTATTATGTGAGAAAGAGCCCTGGCACCCAGTTATCCGCAGAGAACAAACTAGCCAACCGACCCTGCTCTTCTTGCCACGAAGGCCCGAGTCAGAAAGGGAGAATGACAGCTAGCTTTACAGCACAGACAAGAAAATTACAATTTACCAGGATAACACATTGATGCCAATTCTTACCTAAGACTTAATGAGGCTTTGGACACACCCAAAGCAAAGCACATTCCCAAGCACCTCCTATTTTTTTTTTTTTTTTAAGATTTTTAAGGGATTTTACCAAGAACACTTCAGGTGTTGCAAATGATAGCTTCAAATCTGTTGGTAGGACTTTAGCAACTCCCTATTTTACTGGAAGTGCAAAAAGAAAAAAAAAAAATTCCCGCGGCTTTGCCAAAAGTTCTAGGGGTGGGGGAAGGAGAAAAAAAAAAGTCCAATTTTGGCAAGGATTTGCTTTTAAGTGTTCAGAACAGGCTGAACGGATCCCAGCTCCTCAGCCCGAAGGCCCTTAGGGCACTTTCACTAGTTCCCAGCACCCCGTGGGGAGGCTGCCCTGCCTCTGTCCGCTGCCCGAGTTCATTTTTCCGTGGATCTGTAGTCCACGAAATCCCACCAGCTTCTCGCGAGGCAATTCATTCACTCTCACAGAGATCAATCCTCTCTTACCCCCTTCACACACACCCTCACCGCCCACCCTGGGGCAATTAAAATGCTTAAGAAAAGTAAGAGGGAGTGGATGGAGTTGCAAGATAAGCCAGAAGATTTAAAAACCCAAATGAAATTCCTAAGGGGAGGGAGAGAGAGGAGGGGGCTGGCCACGGGGGGCAGTCTTAGAAGGGATAGGAGGGAACCCTAAAGCCCTGTTTTCCGGGATGATGAGCTCCCAGATCTAACATTTCCCTTTCCAAATGTGAGAAAAGAAAAGAAAAGAAAAAAAAAAAAGGCTGGGTCAACGGAAGTGGCCAGCTGAATGAGCCGCCCCGGGAAAATCATTAGGAGACCCAGTTGCCCCCTGTGACAGGCCTGGAGGGGCTCAGCTTACCCGAGTCGCTGCTGGTGGTGGGCGGTGTCTCCTCGTGAAGCGCCAGGGGCTCGGGACTGGCCCGCGGGGAGGACTCTGCCGAGGAGAGCAGAGAGTCCGAGGACGGAGAGAAGGCGGTGGAGTCCGGGGAGGCGCAGGGCTTGGGCGAGCTGCTGTCGTTGAGCGGGTAGGGAAAGACCACGGAGGGGTCGATGCACTCGGAGGCGGCGGCGCTCAGGTCCTGCAGGTACAGGCTGGAGGTGGAGCAGCCGCCAGGCCCGCGGGCGGGGCTCGGGCTGCCGCTGTCTTTGCGCGCAGCCTGGTAGGAAGCCAGCTTCTCGGAGACCAGCTTGGCGGCGGCCGAGAAGCCGCTCCACATGCAGTCCTGGATGATGATGTTTTTGATGAAGGTCTCGTCGTCCGGGTCGCAGATGAAGCTCTGGTTCACCATGTCCCCTCCCAGCAGCTCGGTCACCATCTCCAACTGGTCGGCCGTGGAAAAGCTGCCGCCGCCGCCGTCGTCGTCCCCCCTGGGGGAGAAGGACGCGACTGCAACGTAGGAGGGCGAGCAGAGCCCCGAGCGGCGGCTCGGGGACAGCGGCGGGGTGGGCAGCAGCTCGAATTTCTTCCAGATATCCTCGCTGGGCGCCGGTGGTTGCAGCTCGCTCTGCTGCTGCTGCTGGTAGAAGTTCTCCTCCTCGTCGCAATAGAAATAAGGCTGTACCGAGTCGTAGTCGAGGTCATAGTTCCTGTTGGCGAAGCTGACGTTGAGGGGCATCGCGGCAGCCTGCTGAGGGGGGCACACAAAGGGGGGGGCGGTCGTGAGTTAAGAGGGTCTGGGTGGGTGCCGCAGCCCCGCGCAGCGCGCGCCCCGACGCCGAACCGCGCGCGCTCCCCTTCGAGCGCTAGCCCCAGAAGGGGCCGGTGGCGGGGAAGGGCACCCTCTCATCCCCTCCAGGTGGCCCCCTGCTAGCTGGGACACACACTTGGTGAACCAGCTGCGGAGCGCCCGCGGAGCTTGCGTTCCCCCCCGCACCCCCACCTCGGAACGGGTGCCCGGAGCGCGAAGCCCGGGAGTCCGCCCCGCCGCCACCGAGCAATCGAAATTGGTTTTGGCCTCCTTAAGTGGCCGGGGGAGGCGGCAGCGGGGAACACAATCCGCCAAACCCGAAGGCGCAAAAGTTTTGCGCCACCTGAAGGAGAAGGCAAGAGGCGCCGCGGCAGGAGCGGCGGCGCGCGGCCCCCTCCCGCGCCGGGCCCCTCCGCGCCGCGCCCGTTCCCACTCGCGCCCTCGCCGCGCTCCTTCCCCCGCGGGCGCCGCCGCCCCTCCCAACCCCCCCTCCCCGCCGCCCTTCCATCCCTACCCCCAGCGCGCCCCCCTTCCTTCCTCCGCCGGCTTTTCTCGGTGTCTCTCGCCGGCTGGTGGGGCGAGCCTAGCCGCTGGCCGTAACACTTCCCCCCATAAATAAAAGGGGGGTGTTAGATAATAACAGGGGCACCTCCCTGCAACACCCAATACGGCGACGCAACTGCGCCAGAGCCCCTGCTGCGATCCCGCGCCCGGAGCCGGGCGTTTTCCCCTCACCCGCCGAGGGTAGCAGCTGTTCTGGAAAAGCCCCGAGCCCAGCTCCTTGCCGTCCCTCCGCATCTCAGGGGCGCGGGGACACCAGGGGCCGCGGCGGGGGAGCCAAGGATGGGTGCGGAGATTCGCCCTCGTTTCCCCCAAGTCCATGATTCCAGGAGAATCGGACACATCCCTGCCCAGCCTCCCTTTCCCTGGTCCCTGCGCCTCCCCAACACCCGGTCCCCAACCAGTCCCTCGGAAGCCCAAGATCCCTAATTTTATTAATCTTTTAAAAAGCCAAATGCCAACTTCTTAAAAGGAGCAGGGGGTGAATGGGAAACGCCGCGGGGATCGGCGGGCGGGACGCGCCGCAGTGTCTGTCTCCGGCTGTCAGAAATGCGGTAAGACGGAATTTAAATGCCCTTTCCGAGACGCGGAAAAGTCAGCGGCTGCGGAGCTCTCTGGCTCCCACACGCAATTTGTAATCCTTACTCCCAGGAGCTCAGGATGCACAGGGCTCTCTGCCCACCGCGAAGCACAGCACCCCCCGCTCCCTCCAAAAAAGCAAAGGCAATTAGTGCAATAAAGCAGGAATGTCCAGCTGGTCGGGGGCAGCGTCAGTATACATAAGCAAAAATCTCTAAAGACGAGTTTTAGAAACGCACTCGTCGTCCCTCTGCCTTCTCCCCTCCCATCTTGACAAGCCGCTCTCCCCCATCCAGTTCTGGTTCGTCCTCACCCCACCCCGAGCTACCACAACTACTGAGAAAAGTGTCAATAGCGCAGGAATGGCTGAGACGACACCCCAATTCGGGCATTCGACTCCGACTCGTCGCGGCATTGCATTAAGGCGGTAGGGAAAATAAATGAGAACACAAATAGATCCGGGTGCTTACCGGGTTTTCCACTACGCGAAGGAAATCCAGCGTCCAAAAAGCGGCGAGGAGCGCCTTTCGGAGGAGCCGGTCGCGGGCAGCGGCGGGGAGAAGTGTCTCCCCAAATAGGCAGAAGAGCCTCTCCGCGTCCGGAGGAGAGTCGCGCTCTCGCTCGGGTCTTGTAAGTTCCAGGGGCAAGTGTCCGCCCGCGGCAACGGGCAAAGTTTCGTGGGGGCGCTGGGGGTTGCGCCCCGCTGGCACGGGTGGACGGGCCGGGTGGGGTGGGGGCGGCTGGGCCGGAGGCGAAGCCCCCTTTCGCTCCGGATCTCCCTTCCCCGGGCGCCCGGAGCGCCACTCGGCTCACTCGGCTCGCTCTGCTCGCTCTGCTCTTCCACCCTAGCGGGCGCGCCCGCTCACTCCCTCTGTCTCTCGCTGGGATTACTACAGCGAGTCGGATAAAGCCCGAAAAACCGGGTTTTATATTGCTAGGCACGATCCCGCCCCCCTCTGTTCTCTTTTTCCCGCCAAGCTCTGAATAGCCCTGCCCTTCCCGAGGCCGGCGGGGAGCCAGGCGGCGGCCGGGGCGCA